TACTTAGTTTGCATAATGAAACATCTGCAAGAAAACAAGCAAGCTCAGAGAGCACCAAGGATCCCTCAAAGCAATATATACAGGATTTTTATTGCCAGATGCCAAGTCCTAATAGCTTTTGAGATGTATACAATAATATTTCTATGCATGTTTTCCTATTGGAGGTCAACAATAAAGTTGGCCAAACTCTAAAACCCAGGGAGCATGAAGACACCGGGTCTGAGAAGGCAAAATAAAAACTGTATCTTAAAGATTTGTTTGTAAGAAAAGATTTCTTGTAAGATCTTAATTATTGACTCCAAAGAGTAAAAGAAAATAGCTTTGTGTGCATAAAGTTCACTCAGGATTAACAGATGATCAGATTTATCCATGATGTTTAATTCTACTAAGAGTAAAACCACTCAAATTTATCAAATTCTGTGTTTCCATGGATATGCCTTTAATTCATATCAGAACCATAGCTTCTACATTTAGGCAAGAAAAACCAAATGCACAGGTACAGTATAGGTGGTACCTTGCTAAATAGTAATAACTGTGAGAGGGATCCTACTGGATAATCACTTAAATATGAGCCAACAGTGTGCTGCAGCTGCCAAAAAAGCCAACATAGTCCTGGGCTGCATTAATAGAGGGATAGAATCAAGATTACATGAAGTGTTAATACCACTTTATAACGCCTTGATAAGGCCACACTTGGAATACTGCATCCAGTTTTGGTCTGGGACCAGAGATTTACTTTTCTGAGTTTATGTGGTGCCTTCCTATTGGCTGATTGGTATGTTGATGGCTGACAATGGGCTGTAACCTGTGTTCTACTGCTTCTGAAATGTTTTTGATGTATGCTAGGGTGAGCCATACAGTTGGTTTTGTTACCTTCTTTTTTCTTTCCTTTCCTTTCCTTTTTGTTCAAGCATCTTTGTAATAAGTGCTTGTGGGTTCCCATTCTGCCTGAATTGTTCATGTAGGTACCTTCTCTCCAATTGTTTAACTTCCTATTATTGCTGTTTCTTATTTCAATGCTGTTGATTAGGTCAATAAAATTTTGAATTAATAAAAGCATATGATAGTTATATGTAAGAATTGATAGTATCTATTTTTAGTTAGAGCAGAAATATAAGCAAAATATATCATTCCTATACCTGAAGATGCAAGTTTGCTCTTTTGTTGCTCTAGGAAAATGATCATTTCTAGATTGAAAAGTACAGTTGTTTTCAACAAATTCTCCAGCTTATTAAACTAAAATCAATGTACATGTCAAATTACTAGGTAAATATAGATAGAAAGAAAGGTCTTACCTAAAGAAACTTCCAAATGAAAATTTCAAATTAATTAACTAAAAATACAGATTTCCCCCCCCTAAAGATATAAACTATGTGAATATAATTTTGTCACTGGAAAATTCTTTAGACTTTTAAATCACATTTGAGATTTTTTTTAACTATTTTATTTTATTCAAAAGATTAAGAACCAAAATCCAAAAGAAAAGAATTGAACAGAAACAGAACAAAACTAAACAAAAACATTGAAAAAATGTGAATTAAAAAACCAAAAACATATATTATCTCCCCCCATTGAGCACTGAAAAAATCTATTGTAACAATAATAGCTTCTCCCCTTGCAAAGCAAGTCCAGAATTTATAAGCTCGTACATCTATTTGCAATCCAATTGACCTGTCATACATTACATATGTCAAAGGAAAAATAGTTAACATTTGAGGCTTTTGAGGCTAGCATTGCATGTCACAAACTCCTACTGATTAGAATCACCTACTTACTTTATGTCTCTTTTAGCTTGGAAATTTGTCATATGGGAATTTCTTTCCTTACTTCTATTTCAGCGGAAGATTAGCAAATGTGCTGTAGCATGTTTTTTGTTTATGTTTTTTAATCTCATTCACATCTTCCCATTTTGCACAATAAGAAGGATTATATTTAAATGAATAGAAAATTAACATACTAACAATGAGGTGTGGCAGAACTTTACTTTTTTTTTACCAGCAGGATATTAAAACAAAATATGAAATAATTCAGAAATAATATATCCTATCATTACTTTAAAATGGTGGTGTTTTATTAATATCCTCAGGGCTATCGCTTTATTCTAATGTCAATACTGTATCACTATGTCTTCTGCCACTCCCTACCTTTCCAACAAGCTGCTGGGAATTCTTTTATGATTGGTTCTTAATACAGCCATTTATTTTAATTGCTTTTTTTAAAAAAAAAACACCTCTTTTTTGTTTTTCTACTTTGTCCACTTAAAGTGACTATAACAGAGAAATATATGTACTTTAAAAGGAGTATGGAGTTAGATTCTAGATGAATAAAGTAGAAGAATGCTGCTGATTTTTGTTCCATAAATGTAAGAAAATAGAACTCAGGTTCACATTGAAAATGGTTTTCCAGATTTTTCTCTGAGTTCAGTTCTGGGCCTGGCTCAGAGTAACATCCTCCTTGTTTAATAGATTATAGCAGCGTTTCTCAACCTGGGCAACTTTAAGATGTATGGACCAACTCCCAGAATTTCCCAGGCGGCATGGAGAATTTGGCTGGCTAGGGAATTCAGCGAGTCGAAGTCCACACATCTTAAAGTTGCCCAGGTTAAGAAACACGAGTCTACAGATATAGAAAATTGCCAGCTAGAATCTTCTGGAATGGGTAGCCATATTGAATCAAATAATGAAAGTTCCTGTAGGTCTTGACATATCAGACCAGTGGCAGCAGAAGACTTTTGCATATCCATACACTCATTATGGACAAATGTTTTGGGTTCCTTGGTGAAAGGGAAGAGGAAGACCGACATTTTAGCTGGGCACAGAAAGCACAGTATCATTCCCCTCTAAGTAAAAGCAAACTTAAAATGGTCAGCATGTTCTGACATGGAATCTTGCTCTAGATGCCAAAAGACTTAGCTGAAAGAGAACAATTGATTATCACTTCCATTAATGTTACTGAAGTACAAGCCGTGTAGGAACATTATATGTTTTTAAGAGAAAAAGAGAGAAAAGGCAGACCGCTTTTATTTCCTAATGCCTCTAAATTCCATGCTTTCACATGGTTTCTTGACAAACAGGACATAAATAGAAGCTTATGGTTGCCATGGCTACCATCTACAGCATTCTCTAGCCCATTTTTCTCAGATTGCAAGGTCTCATATTTTGTTTTCAGGTAAATGGGGGCTTTTAAAATCCAATTTTGTAATGGGTACTATTTCTTCTTTTCCTTTTTGCTTGATGTTTAATTGTTGAAATTATGGTTGAACTAAAAATGTGGAACATGCCTTGCATTTTTAAACTGTTCTAGAAACTTAGTATTTTTGTGCATTGTGCTTTTGTTGAAGAAGAAAATTTTATGGGGCATACTTATTTCAGGAAATATAAATTAATATTCTGATTAATATCACACTCAAAGATGTGAACCTCCCCTAAAGAAAAGAAAGAAAACTAAAAAAAATGAGATTTTTTTTCTGATTTCTTCCAGAAGCACTTTTTTTTTTAAGAAAATGGAAATAATATATTTTAAAAGACCCATTTTTAATATCCTTGCTTTAAACAACACATGAAATGGTTAAAATATGAAATAAATGTGTTAAATATATACCAAATATAAAAATAGACCACAGAGATCAAGAATCTTGTCTCAGGATAGGCAAATATCCATTCTTCAGGAATTCATGAAAATTATAAAATATTATAAAAATGCAGAATCCAAGACTAAAACGTCTGATAGTACTTTAGATTCAAAAAATGAGACTGACTAGATAATGTTTAATACGATAGGAATGTATATTTTGTTCTCTCCTTCATTTATTTCCTTTATATTAATATTTTCTGAATCTATTAGTTGTGATCAAAGATGGATGTCAAAAAGTCAAGATGGCAGTCACAACCATATAATCAAAGCCCCGGCCATTTTATCTGTGCATTACCACAAATACCAACTTATTTGATAACATAGCTGTGACCATATCTTGACTTTTTTGACCCCATTGTTCAGACAGTGATCCAAAGACTGAGGAAAGAAGTCTGATGATACCAGGACATAAAATAAGTTCTATTCTAGCTTTTCCATGATTTGATATTAGAGATGGTGCATTGATTAAGGGAGAAAAATATTCTTTTTCTTAGCTATTGATACTTAATATTTGACAAATTATACATTGCAGCTAAAAGTAAAAAAGTTGCTGCTGAACAGCCATGATGAGTAGCATTAACTAAACTTAAAAACAATTAGAATAAATCTGAAGGGTTCTTCACACATATATACTGTACACACACAATTTAATTAAAAAAAACCTCTATTTGCATAAATCTGCAGGTCTCATTTTCACAGCTGTTGGTTGTTCTGACAGCAAGATAGCTACATTTCTGATTCCTTTTAGCATAACTGGTGGGAAGTATATCTTTCAACTAAAAATATCTTGCTCTGAAAGAAAGATTGCTACTTTCCAAAGTTAAAATCACTGTCTACAGCCATATTATCTTAAAACTAATGTTTTTCCAATACAGAGGTTGTCACTTACAGGAAACATCCTGGAACACTGTTAGAATGAATCATATTATAAATGGTGGTTTTGATTTTCTTAGACAAAAAGATGATACTTTTTTTAAAAAGTTCAAAAATAGCTGCAGCTCCATTTAATACCAGAACCAGATAGTTACTACCAAGAAATAATGTAAATGATATTAGTCTTCTTTTTTCTTTGTCTTACTATGTGAGATATTCAGATCTGTGAAAGAATTTAGACTACTGTATGTTGGTTTCACTGTGAATCACATTATGATCTGCATTCAAATGCACATACAGAGTTGAGTTCAGACTTAGTGTTTAACATCTGAATGGAGGCTTTTATGATCATCTGAATATCTGTGGCATACTAGAAGCTATAAATCTGAGAATAGAAACTGGAGAACGTTTTTCCCTTTCTGAGGAATAGTACGTGGAAAACACTGATGAAATATAGCCTACTAGCCATAGATACCTTTAGGAATGGTACTAAATTGTGGTTTTACAACTGTACTGAAATTCAGTGTGCTCCTTGGTTTTTACAAAGGTTTATTGCTGTGACGTGTTTCGGATTAAAATACATGCTAATGATATGATATGGGTTTTTTTTGGGGGGGTATTAGAAACTCCTGCTAATAAACAGAAGCATGCAGTTTCTACCAATAATACCATCAGAGCAGTGTACCATCTGTCAACTACTTGTCATTAACCAGATTGTCCCTACAATTCCAAGTCTGGTACTATTATGATGCTTGTTTGCTTATTTTAGTAAAGGATATCTAACTGGCTTGTTTGTTTATGTTTTGATATAGGCTTTCATGTCAATGTTTCAAATCCTGACACAGGAAGGATGGGTGGACGTCATGGATCAGACTCTCAATGCTGTGGGTCACATGTGGGCACCTGTTGTTGCTATTTACTTCATTTTATATCACCTTTTTGCTACCCTGGTAAGTTGCATATATAAATTTTTGAAACATTTTTCATGCTGATTTATGAGTGCAAAACCAGGTCATCTAATGTAATGTCAGTAGACCTCCAAGGATACCAAATATATGTTTTATCACTTTATATTACATGCAAAGTAGATGCAGGGCAGAAACAGTACAAAGGAAGAATAGCTCTTTTCTCTGTTTCTCTATTGATCAGTTCTACCATTCAATTTCTTCTGGGCATTTTAAGTTTACTTTTACAGAAGAAAAATTGTCAGGGAGAGAGCTGTCAGGAACAGGAGGAACTTTCTTTTGATTGATAGTTGCTTTTATCTATTTCTTGAATATTATACCAATTGCAGATTGGGAGTTAGTATTTCCTAAGATAACTTCTACTTTTGCCTAGTGTTGCCTTCCTACAATTTTTGGGCATTGGCAGAAGCCTTCTTCATTGCCTTGAATTGTCACATGCCCTGCTTAGAGATACTCAGCTGTTGATTTAGAGTTTGGGCATCACTTTTAATTTTATTATATGAATGTTTTGCATTTTAATAGCATTAAATAGGATCATTTTAGCTATGGTGGCATAGTGATTAGAATGCATTATTGCAGGCTATTTCTGCCAACTGTTAGCAGTTCGATCTTCACTGGCTCAAGGTTGATTCAATCTTCCATCCATCTAAGATTGGTAAAATGAGGACCCAGATTGTTGGGGGCAATATGCTGGCACTGTAAACCACTTAGAGAGGGCTGTAAAGCGCTATGAAGCAGTATATAAATCTAAGTGATATTGCTATTGCTATTACTGGCACTTCGAATAACGATTGCTACTTAGGTCCCAGGAATGGATACTCATTTAGGGAAATATCTGTACAGAATTGTACAGATACTCATTTAGGGAAATATCTGTACAGAGCCAACTTACCTTTTGAGCTCATGGATTTTCATTTCTCAATAAAGACAACCATGTTAATTCTTGGAAAGAATCTGGAGTTCAGATCTGTAACATGTGGTGATCTGTGTTTACAAAAAATTCAAGGTGTTTTTAAACAAGACCATGCTTCCTCTTTAATCTAATAGAATAATTATTAATATTCTGGATCACAGCAAAACAGGGATCATAATGAAGCAAGAACATGCATTTATTATGCAAAGATTTTCTATAGTTTCATTGCATTGCAGTCTTCCCATAGCGGTAATTAAATAGAAAGCTAATAAATGACTTGGGGCAATAGCTGATAATTAGGAGTTAGTGTTTTCTTATTTTATGATGTCCAAATTAGCACATGAAAAATGTCATGCGATGGTATACTAACATAAGAGCAAACCAACAATTATTTTGAGATATAGATAGATATAGATATAAATATATAAATAAAGAGATATAGATATATAGATATAAATAAAAACTATGATGTTCTGTTCCCAACATATTTTGGAGCAGTTTGCTGAAGCCAAATGACCTCTGTATTGCAGAACACATTGAAGGGATGCAATTTTAGCAGATGTTCATTGCTTTACACTTCTGGGATGTAGAACAGGTGCTTTTTTATACGAAAGGGAGTCTCCAATCCAGTGGAACATATGTCAAAAAAAAAATCTCATTAAACTGAAGAGACATAAGGATTGATGGTGTTATCTAGTGCAAGTCTGGCAATTGCAACAACAGCTTCCTCAACCAAGTTCATTTAGTTCATTAAGGAAAGGATTATCCCCTTTTTTGACCTAAAGTATAGTTATCTAGACAGAAATTGAGTTTTCTAGAACTTTCTAGAACAGTGGTTCTCAACCTGTGGGTCGGGACCCCATTTGGGGTCGATCGACCATTTCACGGGGGTCGCCAAGCAAGGCTGTCCGCCATTTTTTTTGTCTATTTTTTTTGTCCGCCATTTTTTCCCCTTTTCCGGCGGGTGCCTTGGGCTGGGCCAGCTGGTGGTCGGCCTGCTCCGTCTCTGCCGCTTGCCAGCTACGCCTCGGCCAGCGCAGGGGGCGGAACCACGCATGTCCGGCGCTCCCGGGCAGGGAAAGTCCTTGACGTACGACCGGTTGGGTAGTCCTCGACTTACGACCGGTTTAGTCCTCGACTTACGACCGGTTTAGTCCTCAACTTACGACCGGTTTAGTCCTCGACTTACGACCGGTTGGGGTCACGGCATTAAAAAGGTTGAGAACCACTGTTCTAGAACTTATATTCCTTCTATCCCCTTCTAAGGAGTACAGATTTTCCTGCATCCCTTTCCAACATATATGTTATCCCAGGATGTTCATATTCATACATTAATGTCTGTGCATATACATGTATGTATGCATACCTTAATAATACCACTATTTAGAGGTTGTTGGCCAGGGGAGCAGAGGGGACAAATGCTGAAAACTACCTTATGCAAGCTCCAACCCATTTGCATGGACATCATGACATCACAGGTACATATGAAAGGGGCAGAATTTGCATCAAGATGGCCCGACCATGCTATTATCATTTTAACAAAAGCTCTAGAACCTGAGGATGCCCCTGTCATGATTACAGCATTTAGCAGTTCTGTAAAACTTCAGTAACCATGACAAAAAAAAGCTCTAGGAAATTGTGACAGGGACACAAGCAATAAAGCAGCAGGAAAACATTGCAACAAATGATAACTTTCAGAACTCAGAATGAGAAGGCGGGTAAAGTTCAAAAGTGCTAATTGTATGCACTTGAAAACAGATTCTGTAGAGAGCTGAGAGAAATGAATAGTTTTCACAGCAGAGGCTAAGATAGAAGTTACATTTGAAAAGCAAAAACTGTGTTAGGAGTGAAGTCTATTATTAAAACTCAAAAGGGGATGGTGAAGTTAAATAATAAGCTGAGGTTTAACTGTTCTTTTGTGATAATGCTCTAGATTTGTTTTTGACATTCAATAAAAATCTTCCTTCTATGCCTGTCATTCTCAGCCATAGAAATGGGAAACAATCTGCCTAAACTGCACTGTATTTTGCACCCAAGGCACAATTCTTTGATCAAATCTTGGAACAGCTTTTCATTAAGTTTTTAGCTGAAGCAGTGGCCTGAAGGAGGGTGAACTATTATTGAGCAACATATATGCATGCATGTATGTAGTGTATGTACTATATGTTTGTATATACATAAGCAATCCATAAAAGCCATATCCAGAAATCCAAATAGTCTACAAATATATCTCTCCTCTATTTTGGACTTTTTCTTCATATTTACTTGACTAAAAGGATATTAATTTATTAAAAATATTAAGTATTCAGTTCCATTTTTTAAATTTTGTAGATTCTGCTGAGCTTGTTTGTTGCTGTTATTCTAGACAACCTGGAACTTGATGAAGATCTAAAGAAACTTAAACAAGTAAGGTTGTTTATATTGGATATTATTTATACCAAAACTGTACTGTAACACATTCTCTTCTCTTTTGAAAATATAGATGCCATCTTCAGAAAGTAAAATAAGAGATGTGTATAGCGTACTAAAACTTGATATGCCTAAATATTAAAGATCAATTAAAGAGGCAGGGGAAGGATATCCTATGTTTATATTTGTTGAGCATTGAACAATTCATTTTTAGTAGTGTTTAGCCCACTACTGTATCATATTTATCAAAATAATTACTTGAGAATCCAGGCAAGAGTATCATCTGACATTTCCTGAGAACATTAAGAGATGCTGATTGCTGACTGCTCGCAGTTCGAGTCTCACTGGCTCAAGATTGACTCAGCCTTCCATCCTTCCGAGGTCGGTAAAACGAGGACCCAGATTGTTGGGGGCAATATGCTGACTTTAAAAACCGCGGTATATGTCAAACTATTGCTATTTATTTTCACTACAACAATATACTGTTTTCCACTGGAATGAAGATGAAGAATATGAACAGCATCAACACAAGAAAAGAAAATAATATTAAGCATAGGGGCAAAATCAAACCCAAGAAGAGGCACTGAAATTCATCAGAATGGTAGAGTAGGGCAGTAAAGCACTGTGAAGTGATACAGTATATAAGTCTAAGTGCTATTGCTGTTTGTATTGCTATGATGCACATGGAAGGACAGACTGCACTTCCTTTCTCTGTAGATTAATATAAATATACAATACAACTTAAGTCTTAGCCATCTCTTGTTCCAAAATTAGCTAATCCCAAATAAGTGCCACCTTTGGAATTTATATACCATTAGCATAGAATCTGTCGGTTTCCTTCAGTTTGATTCCTATATGCAAACAGGGATGTTTCCTTTATGTATACAGGGACTGATTATTTTCAGTTAATAATAAAAGTAGACTTTTAACCTACTGCAGTTATGCAGAAGCTTTCCCATATAAACAAATAGGCCACAGCTATGTCATGGCAGATAGATATCAATAAGCAGTGCTCTCTGGACAAGGAAATGAAGTCACAGGAAAGGTTAACTGTTGGTAGATTGCTGGGAGGGGGGGACTATTTTGTTGAATGAGGTGCCAAATACTTTTGGGTGAATGGGGAGAAAGTGCAATAATGAATATACCAGTAACCTAGAATTAAGGAGAAACTTCTTGACAGTTAGAACAATTAACCAGTGGAACAACCTGCCTCCAGAAGTGGTGAATGTGCCAACACTGGAAGTTTTTAAGAAGAAACTGGACAGCCATTTGTCCGAAATGGTATAGGGTTTCCTGCCTGAGCAGGGGGTTGGACTAGATGACCTCCAAAGTCCCTTCCAACTTTATCATTATTATTATTAGTACCATAGCTTTTCAAGTTTTATTAGCAGATGTGACATAGAAATATTTTTATGGTCTTTTTATGGTCTCCCTCTGTTAACAAATATTGAAGAGACTCACTTTTTTCCCCCTTTCTCAAACCTTCCAGAATTTAGGGGCATGCCACTTTGGATTCCGTAATATTTCTTTTTTATATGATTTTTGTATTATTTTACTGGAAGTCAGTCTTATTGGAGTGAATAACACTGTATGTAAAGACACTGCCAGAATGTGAAATCACTGAAGCAACTTAAATGATTCAAAAAATAATGGAGTGCATGGCAAGTGTCTGTTTCCTTGTAGAACTCTCAGCCCCTCCACTATCTCCAGGGGTAAAAGGAAAAGGGCTTTAGAGAATAGCTATTAGTGAATAGTTAACTTCAGTGGCAAACCTCAGATTGCAGGATGTATTTGCTGGGTTTTTTTCTTCAGCATAAAACTCAGCATCATCCTAATGGGTTTTAGAACATTATAGTTTTCATTCTCATGGAGCAGAATTCTTAATGTATTTCTTCGGGGAATGTTTTCTTGCTTATGAATAGAAGAACAAACAATTTTATGAAGCACGATTTATCACTTAAGGGTGCTGAACTAAACCATATCCTCCTGTAAACCTTCAGAAATTAAATTTAAGTGCATACGTAAAAGTGAAATGCATGTTTTAGTAAAGGATAAATTTCAAATTAAATTATTTTAATTAAATGCTGTACTTAGGAAGTTGTAAATAGTCTACCAGTAATACTGTCATTTTGTCAAAATGCATAAAGAATTTCACAAATATCAACCTAGTACATATTTCAGTATTAACAAAAATAATTTAATTCACATCTATACATAAAAGTGATCAGCATGAAAAGTGGGTTATTGTTTCTTTGTTTCTTAAATGCTGCTATATATTAAGCTGGTTAGTGTTTCTGATGGCATTGAAAGAAAAGAAAAGAAAGGAGCTGTAATATCTTTAGGTAAAAGTGTTCTGTTATAGCATTCAGCTCAGATTTTTTTTTAAAAAGCTAGTGAAAGAACATGCTATTTTTATAAATACTGCTAGACACTACTGCTGCCACTGGAGTTTTTACTTGATTGTCTAAAATTTAGATGAATATTCTCCAGGACTTCATAGCTTTGGGGATTTTTTCCCCCTTGAATATTTCCTTGTGAACTCCTAGATCTTTCATGTATCAAAATAGTTTTGAAATGAAAACCAATCTAATACTTTTAGTAATAATAATTACACAGAAATGGAAACAAAATAACTATTCTCCAAGTCACATGAAGACAGGATAAGAAGCAATGGATGGAAACTAATCAAGGAGAAAACCAACCTAGAACTAAGGAGAAATTTCCTCACAGTTAGAATAATTAACCAGTGGGACGAGTTGCCTGCAGAAATTGTGGGTGCTCCATCACTGGAGATTCTTAAGAAGAGATTGGACAGCCATTTGTCTGAAATGGTATGGTGTCTCCTGTTTGGGTAGGAATTGGACTGGAGGACTACTGGCGTCCCTTCCAACTCTATTATTCTGTTCTGTTACTTTGTTATTCTTTCTATGACCATGTGTATCCATCCCATCAAGCCCAAAGAAAATTCAGAATGGTATAGGTCAGGGGTAGGCAACCTTGGCTCTTTTATGACCCGTGGACTTCAACTCCCAGAATTCCTGAGCCAGCATGGCTGGCTCAGGAATTCTGGGAGTCGAAGTCCACGAGTCATAAAAGAGCCAAGGTTGCCTACCCCTGGTATAGGATCTCCTGCCATGTGCAGGGGCTTGGACTAGAAGACCTCCAAGATCCTTCGAACCCTACTATTCTATGTTCTGTGTTGCAAATTTTTAGTGTAGAACTTTCTTGCTTAGGTAATAACCAGGATTAACTGGATAAAGCAGGCATCTTGTTCTCCATTTTTATTATTTATTCATTGTCTATTTTTTACAAAAACTTTCTGGTGCTAACAACATTTCTCTTTCCTATTGAAATATCTTATTGCTTTAAAGCATGAATGTCACTTTAGTTATACAACAGCCAAGCTCAAGTATTGGAAAAAGTAGTATTCAATGTGCAGATGTATTTGGTGCTTCCGGTTATCATAAAGAGTTTTAAAACTTAGCAAGAATCTTTATCTCAAATTAATCCATTTTTGTGAAGTTTTCTGAATATATATATTTATATATGGCACAGACTACTTATATTGTTTTGGCTCAGATATTCAATCACTTCTGACTCTTTGTTAACCAGTGGTAATACTTTGAAATAGGTTTACCTGTCCATAATAGTTTGTTGCATTTGTGTTCAGGGACGCTATCTAGCCACTAGTCTTTGGTCAGCGTCTTTTTCTATTAAACTTCAGGATAATAAAATAAAATGTGTTGGGGTCCTTTCCAATGTCTCTTGTCATTGCATTGTTCAGTGTCTTTTATCATTGTGCATCCAAAATATTTAAATGTTGGTTGCATTATTCATGCTTGAGCAGATTGATTTTATTTCAAAATGTATGAATTATTTGTTCTTCTTGCCATTCAAGATATTGTAGGAGGAGAAACATATTAGTCTATGATGGCAGACTCAAGTAGAGCCTGGTAATATCTTTTCAACACATTTTATTAACAGACATAAGCTTTTGAAAAAGTCTGGAGAGGATAGGTTGGTTATATAGAGGCCAGTTATGAAAACATGCCTATATAAAGTTTATAAACTTTGTTAATTCAAAAGATTCTACAATACTCCTTCTGATTTTTAGCTGTTTGGTATTCTCAAAAAAAATTTCCAGTAGCACAATTCAAAGCCCTTTTTAAAAATTCAGTCTTTCTGATGGTCGAGCTTTCACAGTTCATATATTACAACTGGGAACCCCATTCCTTGAAAATACTTATTTAGCTGTCAGGTTGATATCTCTGCATTTTACTATTTTGTATAGATCTGTGGTAGTCTTAGTCTTAAGTAGCAGGTGTCTTTTTATTTCATGGCTATAATCACCATCCCTGAGAATTTTGAGCCAAGGAAGTTAAAGTATGTTCCTAGCCTCTTGTAGCATCCAGGAATTCTGCTGTTTCAATCAATCAGTCAGAATAGAGCTACATTACGGAATAGAGCTGGATTGTAGAGTTTCAATAATTCTGAATTTAATTACTTGGAGATTTGTCAGAATACAAGACTTTCTGAATAAAGAATACACAAGACTGCAAAGTTTAAACTGAATATTTTCTGCATACTCAAACTGAATGAAGTATTATACTTAGTTTGATGTAATATACTATAGAGAAAGAAACCAAGAACAGTTTCTTGATTTGGGAATAGACTTTTTTTAAAAAAATCACAGTATTTTGATACTTAGGTGAAAAGAAACTCTTCATGCTATAGGCTTATTGTATAATGTAATGCAAACCTACTTCCACTTCAAAGAAGTCATTGTATTGTTTTTTATTCTTAACTTAAGGAAACAAGCTTTCTTTGAAATTCTAGCACTGCGTAGAAATTTGTTTAAAATTCCTGAAAGGTACTGCATTCTCCTATGTCCTAAAAATAATATGTAGAACCTGACAAAATGAGATACTCTCTAGGCTATAACATAAACAATATATTTCAGACAAAACACGACCAATGAAAATATCACAAGAAGTAGC